TATATATATACATGTGTAAATATATATGTATATATATATAAATAATATATAGATATATATATATATGTATACACTCTTTCAGCAGACTGCCTAAATCCTCCCGAGAAAGCCATAGTAAGGCAAAACAAGCCTCTATTAAGAAATGAATAAGATTCCCTTATAAATTATGATTTTATGTATTGTTTCGAAACCATTTCTGTTGAAATAAAAATCATGAAAATTGGGTGTTTGCTCTCTGGTCTTGGTAACCAGAAGGAACTTTTATTTTGTATATAGTATTAGATGGGGTTTTGCCAGACAGACCTTTCACTGCTGTGAGCTACTATATGTTGTGTAAAAAGTCAAATGGTGTTCATGTAGGCAAAGGGTGTTGATGAATTTCAAATGGGTCGTTACACATTTACACCCCATTTCTTTCTTGTACATCCTCAATGTTGATTCTCTCACCACACAGCAATTCAGTTAAATTCAGTAAAACTGATATTTCTTCTTTAGTAAACATCTGATTCACAATAAATCAATGTTTGCATAATTTTGCCATACAGATTTGTATGCTCTCGTATTGCCATTTGTAGAGAACTACCCATAAAGATTAATCTTGCGAATCCCTTTCATTAGGTCCACTTCATATTCCGTGAAAGCAAAATCAGAGGTTAAAGCAAAATTCAGACCTTTTGGCAAAACTTTTACACATATCTCCGTTAACACCTGAAATGTTAACATTTGCATTGTCCTCTTTTTTCTTTAATTCCCTGTAACCTGACATTTCCTTGACATTTCCTTTTGCCCCGCTTCCCAAACAATAGTATAGATAGCTTGAGGTTAATGATTACTTCACCTTGACATACTAATGCTAATAGTGGCACTTCCGATAAAGTTAAATAGGTGTGTTCCACTTGTGGGGTTTAACCAAAGCCCTGAGAAAGCATTTTTGTTGCACAGGAATCAGTCATTTGCTGGCTGTATTTTAATTGTTTTTAGCCTTTGCTTACTGCTAAATAAAGAGAATGAAATACTGAGAGTGCTCCTGGAATCTGTCTTCACTTGAATGCCTTGTTATAAAAGTGGGTGGGGGAACTTTCAAAAGGGCATTTTTAAAGGCGGTGTGGATTTAGGCATTAATAATTTACAATACTTGATTCATTAAAGGTATGCAATATTCCAAAATGTGTACTGAGCTTTGAAATGCATATAGGGAGAACCTGTTCAGGGCTTGCAATTTTCATCCAGACATCACTGTAGGGCATTAATCCATTTAATTTCCTTTTGTTGGTAAACTAGTTGTCTGGAAGCCCCTTTTTGTAATGCAGAAATGGGTATTCCTAACATCTCCCCCTGTAGGTTCTTTTGTTGTTCCTCTCATGCAGAAAGCTTGGTGCATCATAACATCTGTGCAAAGTTCCACAAATCGTATCATATTCAAACCTGCCCTGTATGTTTGAATCTGTTTGAATCTGATTTCTGATTCATGAATCAGAGGTAAGGAGGTTGTACAACATAGAAAGCAGGAAATGGACCCACCCCTCCTGTATGTGATAAGTTCTGTGTTATCTGGCTGATTGTAACAAAAGTTTAACCCCTTTAAAACTGAGCTTGTTTTTAGTTTCTGTTCGTAAATGACTGACACACTTTTGAAATTTTTGCTCTGTGATTCTTCCACGTCAGTAATATACTTTCTTACAAAGTGCACCCACACATATTGCATTTTAGAGGACAGATAGGGCTATATATTTATACCACATATGTGTACCTAACGCCTCACTTAGGACAAATAAAATATAATAAAAGAGGAAAAAACTTAAGAAAACACTTTTTCCCCAGTTTTGATTTGTAGTATTTTTTTGAAAAATAGCACAGCTAAAAAATGCAATAAATACATTAATTTATTTGTCCTTTATTTGGAAAAAAAACTCAACTCGCATTCCTAGGATTTTAGAGATGTTTCTGTAGTTCTCAGCCTAAAACTAAAACCTAACATTGCAAGCTTTTTTCTCTAAAAGCTAAAAGTGGTCACCTGGCATACAATGTCACTGTCACTAAGTGTCACACTTAGTGACAGCAACATACTTTGAACATCACTGTCATGAGGGGGTTAAATTGCCCCTCACCCAACAGAGAATTTACACAAAACTCAAAAGATAAATTGTGCATATTTTATGACTTAAAGTGACACTAAATTCAGGAGTTCAATCTTAAAAATGCATTCAAGCATCTTATCTATTAACAAAAATGTCTATTTGTGTATCACTCAGTTGTAGATCCTCAAATAATCTCTGAATTCATGATGTCAATGTCCTTCCTTCTGAAGTGTGGCTACTTTTGTTCTCCATGGTCCCCGTGTATGTTGTAAGTAGTTATGGTGCTTGAATGCATTTTGTTGAATAAATAAGGAGAATTGTGTTCATTTTGAATACCCAATTATGTGTAGAGAAGTGTAAAAGATTGCACATTTGGATGATCCAATCCCGACACCCTCTATTCATTTAGCAAACCACTCCTGTAAATACACTGTTATTAGGAAGATGCTTTAAATACAATCATAACAGAGATCACTGCTTTCCAAGTCGTGTGTATGGCAGAACATTTAAAGATGAACAGAAATGTGAAAGCTGTGCCCAAAAGAGTAAACAGAGGGAAAAGGTAGCCAGTATTTCCTGTGGTCTCTCTGCAGCTGATATTTCCCCATTACTGACTTACTATGCTTTGTCCTGCACTCTGTCTCTGTGTGGAAGCAGTCATCTGGGTAGAAGCAGTATTTTTCTTCATCATGTCAGAGCCTCCAACAAGGAGAACATTGAACAGCACAGTAGTGACATCACCAAATCTCACTCCACATCTCCTGAGCCTAGCAGTCAGAGGCAACAATGCCTTAGATTTACTCTGCAGATATACTGTACAGCTGTGAGGCTGTAGGCACAGAAATGCCTAGGTTCCTTCATGTTTCAAGAGAAATTCAAAGTACATTTTCAAGGTGCAACTTAGGCATGATTTACTTAGCAAATTGTATTTAATTTTAAGTTATGTTAAAAGACAACTGCATTCTAAATCCATATCCACCAACAACCTAAACTGTGCTAACCCCTTCCTCAGAAATGTACATACCTTAGTTCCAGAGCCATGGCCCTCTCCAAAGTTTCCAGCCTGTTGTCTGAACATCCCATTGTCTTGAATCAAGTTGTAAACCAAGGATCTCCGGTCTGAATATGGACCCGCTCAAGTCAATGGGGACAGTAATATAGAGATTTATGATCAATGGGCTGGAAACTTAGAGGAGGCTGTGGCCATGGAACTAAGGTAAATAAAGAGCTGGGGGAAGGGGTAGCAGAGTGGAGGAAGGATTTGGCATAAGTTGTATTAAAGGTACAGCCGCCCTTAAAGTATAACTCATTTTGAGTCACAGAAAGAGTGTATTAGAAGGGTGAAGGACACAATGGGATTATTACTAGTAACAGTGCACAAGATTTCTGGAAAAAAACAAGAATTATTAATTAAATAAAGGAAAATATTTTATTGTATCAACTCAAATATACATTATCATAGACAGAGTAACAGGTAACAATTCACATTCGTATAGCACAATACAGATAAAAAGATATATCTCTCCTTGGCAAAAAATAAAAATCAATATCTTCTACAACAAGTATTTATGCTGCTGGGATCTGTAATGATGTCAAAGCAATGGATTTAATTACACACTATCAATTTTTTGTTACCACCATGATTTTATTGGTCAGAATAATACTTAGACTTTATCCTATAAAATGGCAGAAATGCCAGCATCCAGACAGGTACATTTTAATGGTAAAATAAATCTGCCATGTTTAACATGAGATATCCTAGGATAAAGGTAGAGATTATAATACACATATCTGGTGGTTTATGATTTACTGGCCAATATTACTAAGTAGTGGTGTTCTAGAGGAGCACAGCAGGAGAGACAGAAATAACCTGGCAGCTTTGTATCTATCTGGCCTGCAAGATAATCCTGAAATACCACCACTTAGTAAACGTGAGCCTACTATACATCTTCTGGAATACACATAGTAATAATAAATGAAGCTATATCTGCTTTTACAGATCATGGTAAATTAACACACATGTTTTATGTGCATTTCTATACAATCTACAGCACGGACCAGAGTACTGCAGGGATTGTGAGGTAACCCAAAATATATGGGGTTTATATACACACATCAATTGATGAGAACCATACAATCGAACATGTACTTAGATTGAGGAAAATAGCTGATACTCCATGCTCACATTTATTTACAATGTATATGCCAATGGAGACCTTTCCAGTCTCTGGCACCTGAAACAACTCAGTCTGTGATTGTTGCACTTTGCAGATTAGGCTGGACATCAGATCTCATTCACTACCTTGAAGCATACATCTAGGGCCCATTCATCAGCAGGAGTTTCTTTCCAGTACAGTCCTTGTTATGGCTAAATTCCACTGTCCCCTTTTCAGCAGTCACAAATCCATGATAAATTCCGTACAACACTGTAGTCAATAACAGCAGCACCAAATATTATATTAATCCCATTATTATTTTAATATTTATTTTAATATCAAATCTGGCATGCAGCTCATGCTGTGGGATTTGGTATATTCACGTATGTTATACTTTTCTATATCAGTAGAAATCATAACTGGTCAATTGATAATAGAATAACAGTCAGGGATAATTCAACAGTCTCAAGGTCACTTAATTCATTTTTAAACCTTTCTTATTTTCTGTTCCATATCACCAGCCCAAAACATCATATCTCTTGTTGCAATGAACAGAATTATCTAAACACTGACATTGGGTTTCACAAGACTGGCTAGAAAAGTTAAAGAATGCAATCTGATAATGCTTGGCAATAAAATATTATTCAAGGCAATCTTGACTACTTATGACAACTTCTCCCTATAATGTTACATACTTCGTCAGTATGAAATCAGAGCTCCAGGCCAATGCAGAGTTACAACTGCAACATAAAGCATGAGCAATTATTTCACTGGTTTCTGGTAAGATATTATGGTTCCCTTGTGGATTACCCTGCTTTGCATCATTAAAACAAATGCAAGGAACCATGCTTCTAAAATCATATTAAAAAATATATATATTTTACATGAACAGTCCAAAAGTTATCCACTGGTTCATTTTTTATTCATTTGCATCCCACGAAATTAGTTTAATTTACCCTTATGGTATGCAATGGAACCTATTAAAAACTGAGCTTTATGGTTGCATATGCATAGGATTCATATGTTACAGTCATTGCTAATACCCCATGATGGTGTAAACAAACCTGCTGCCTTTTAAACTTCACAGGAATAAATCTGGCCAAACACCCAAGAATAATTACTTGCTTCCAAACAATCCCATCAATAGAAGGACTTTGTTTCCCAGGTATGCACAGTCTGCAAGGTTATTGTTCATGCTTAAAAGAAATTTGCGCTCAACAAAAAATAAAAATAAACTGGCCAAACAATAAAATTAAATAAACTGGCCATTGGCTATGTATGCATTCAGAGTTGTCAGTAAAAACCTTGAGTTATCTTCATAGTTCCCTGGGGAGCCTCATAATCCAAGGTGCTCTGTAATGCAAATAATAAAATAGCTGGCATTTAGTTCCATGCCCTTCCAGTCCTTGTGCCACTGAATGTGATGGGCAGACTATCTGGTGAACAGCAAGTCATAAGAGGAAGAGCAAAGTTATGGCTTCTGAAGATTAAGAAATTATCTACATAATAGTGATAACAGTGTGCCCCAGATTACAGGATTTTAGGGGTGATCTGAAGGGAACACAAGGTATTTGCAAGTAACTCTGAGTGCCAGCATTTACTTAAATCAATTACCCTTTTAAAGCCTATTTCCAACTTTGCAGAGGTATTTTAAAAAAACATATGCCAGCAATGTACACCGAGTGAACATGAAGCAGGCATATGCAGATGATGTATATGAATGCGAAGATGTCCCTTGCATACAGCAATAAAGACCAGAAGTAATGGTGGTGCTTGTACTGATGTCCACGGATGGCGCCGTGCATATATCAGATATGATGTATATGAAAAACAATTTTGTTAGCTTCCCTCTTCATACTGTATATCCTCATGGAAAGTTGGAAATTTACTTTAATAAATGAGCTGAACATTTATTGAACAAGCCGAATTTCTTGTTTGGCTCAAGTGCTATTTAACTATTATGTGTGAATAACTACAGGACAATCCATGTATATATAATAAATAAGATGGGGATTAAACCTAGTAAAAAAATGCTCACAGTATAATGGCCATTAGTATAGTCTAGCACGTTCAACAGATCATGATATGGTTATGATTACTATCCATTAAAACCAAAGATACTGGTTAAAATAATGAAAACTGTTGAAGCTTTAAAACATTTTGGTCATCTATGAACTGGCTGGTGATGCTGGCATTTATTACAATAGAATACATATATTCTATGTATAGTTGAACAAAACATTATCTATAAAGAACTACTACTGTACATGACCACTGCTATAACTCTTGTGAATCCCAGGTTAAAATAATGGCTTTATTCTGATTAGTTCAGTTTTAAAAGACATCAACCATACTTTAAGCACATAAAACACAGCAAAACGCAAAACAAAAGAATGCAGCCTTGAACCGGTTGTGTACAGGCACAGTTTGAGTGTTTGAATAGAGGTGGATGAAACAAATTAACATTTGGTTAGACAAACCAACATGAACATATATGACAAACAACTCTAAAAGAACAAAATAGGTAAAAGTTGACTGGCAAATATGCAAAATTTATTCCAGATGTTTAAGGCTGGTCAAAAAAAACCTCAAAATATTCAAATCCCTCTTCAGTTAATTGACACATTTAGTACAAAATGTTATGTTTCTATATTTTTAGAATTTTGCCTGTGAAAATGTTGAAGAACCCTGGTGTAAAAAGAAGACCTGCTAGCTTAAAATTGCAAGCCTGGATGGCATTTACCTTTTTCACATGTATTGTGCCTTCCCAAGCCATTAAGAAAGAGATCTGGCCTCTGCTTGCGTGTAACCAGTAATGACAACCTCTTTGCAGTTATCTGTGTGCAAACAACCAGAGACATTTCGGTACTCTATTACAAGATTTTAGTACAGAAAAAACAAGTCAAAGTCATCTAAAAAATATCAACTAAAGTAAGAAAGTAAAAGCAAATTCCTACTGGCAGGAGAACTAATTAGCAAATGATACGATGCCAAGCTTATGTTCAGAGCCATTTGGTAGCTCCAGTAATCTGCAACATTGCGCTGATATGATGTGTAGACGGAATGGTCCATGCAAATGGTCTGATCTGTTACACTGCGAACTCTATAGACAGGATCCCAGACATCTTCAGAATGGATCAGAAACTCACAAGAAATGAACGTTCAATGAAGTGTTGGCTATCATTTGGAAGCACATTGGTATAGCTGTATTTCCCTGAAAATATATGTAATTAATAAATATACTGGCCGATCAATCCAAACTCTATTCTTTTTATTGCCAGAGAGAAATAGGTCGGTCAGTAGATATGCACAAACTCCATAGGACAAATAACTTTAAATGCATCATAGCAAATGATCTGCTGACAAAATGGTATTTCCTAGCATTTCCAGATGACATAATGCTGTCTAGGAAGATCCTAGACTTAATGCTACATTTAATTATTTCCATTATGTGGTAAATAGTGCTTGAGAGAATTCTACTTGTCAGATTGATGTAGTCTGCTTTACAGGATAGATGGAATGGGAGATCGAGAGCGTCTTAGAGGACAAGGTGAACTGTAGGGTGATGTTACTGGAGACAGTCTCAGGGCATTGCCAGTCAAGCCAGCTATGTTGTTTAAACTTCTGGATTTCTCATATCCTTTTACGAAAAATTGCACAGACATCAGTTGAATTCAGCCAGAAAGAGACAGAGACAAACAGTAAAATGAAATGCAATCAATTATGAGTCCATCAAAAAGCTATATGTAGACAGTAATGAAGAGCTGAGACAATTTTATTGATTATTATGACCCTACATGTACTATTTAATTTACTGAGGTTGTTCAATTGAACCTGAATAATAATTAAGATAAACATTAACAGCATTGATAAAATTGTAGGGTCCTCATACAACGATTTATTAAAAATACTAAAATTGTGTCAGCTGAAGAAATATGGCATGTTAAACTGCATGATAAACAGGCTTAATTAAAAACACAAAGCATTATGTGAAATGATAATTCCCCTTTAAGATGGTTTGATATATACCTCAAGGATGGTGATTCATGTGAAAAATGTAGACTTAGTCATAGCTGAAACATCACAATAAATGTACTATTCCCAAGAGCCAATGCTTCCTAAATTCATTAGTACACAGATTTAAAATATTTTCTAGTTTAAATAATTATATAATCAATATACGAATAAATTATGAGTTTGACTATATGTTTGAAATATTTTTACTTTTAAATTTGCATTCAATACAGCTAAATGTAATTATGTTTATTACATATCTGTTATTTCATGCCCTGTGTTTTAAAACATTTGTAAACATCACGTAAAACTGCATTTTTATCTGTTAGTGAGTGATATAAATAGCAACCTTTTCTGTAAAATGGGCGAATTTATTTTAAGGTTGTAGTGTATTTTAATTTTGAATTTCAGTTGTGTATATAAAGCCACTCTAAAGTTACAGCAAAATAATTGTACTCTCTTTTTCTTTTGTTCTTAAGGCAAAACTGAATTCAGATTACTGTTATATTATAATTGTATGTCCAATGTTTCACAATTAACAATACGTTTATATACACTGTGAATTTCTAGAGTTTAAGTGGACAAATATGGAAAGTAGCTGAGATGGATAAAAGGGCATGGACATTTGTGTTTGCAATGCATAAGTTTCACTGGTTCTCTGAGGTGATTTGTTGCATTTCAACTGATCATAAATACTTTTAGAACAAAGATTTGCTAATCCACAAGGTATCTCTTCAGGCCTATTACAGGGCACAGAGTACCACAGGCTTCATTGGTGATTTACCTCACTATAGTTTATGGCTTTTTTCCTGTCAATTTTAGAGTCTCACTTCTGCCATAAAATAGTTTTCTTACTCCTCCTGTTGCATTATCCATGAAAAAAGTAGAACAGGTGGAGTAGGACTGCAATTGCTGCTGTAAATTTCAAGACAACCACATTTAAGTACAGAGATCCCAGCACCAGGGCCACTTAAAGACACAGTCTTAAAAACTGTCTGGTAATTTAACACTTCAGTATTTAAAAAAGGATGAAGTATATTTTGAGTGGACTGAAACTTAAAAAAAAAAAACTAGTTTCCTTTTTAAAGGAGCAAGCTGTTGAAATCATTGTGTGCGATGTTGTATTCTTTCTTAAAGCCTTCTAGGCACAAATATGCAGAAAGGTATGTGATATATAAATTAAATTAAATGTAAAGAATGTGTGCTAAAAATTGTCTGCTCTCTGTCGCGTGATGCTTAATATGCTCATTGTTCAATTGCATTTCAATGCTGACAATAATAGTCTCTATGGAAATCAGAACTGACCTAGTTGCATTTCATTTGCCCATACACTGTTTCAAGTGCCAATCTACCTGTAGAAATATTGAATTCAAAAGAATGTTACAAGCGCCTGCTTGTAACAAGTAGTTTCATCACATGGCATAAGCAAGCATGCCTACTAGGTATAAACAAAATGGATAAGTTAGGGTCCAGCAGGAAAAGGTGCCATTGGATACCTGACTTGATTTTTCTAAAGGTATAATAATCCAACACATTAACCATGATAGCTTTTATAGGGGTTTAGAATGCAGGCCCTGGTGCAGCCAAAGGGCCACAAACTGCAGGCCTAAAGTACATGTAAACTAACGGCTAACTAAATGTCATTTAATTTACTAAAGGACTGTGTATCACAAGCAATTGCCATTTATATTCAATAAAATATGTTTTTCACAATTTTTCTGTTCTTTCTTGCAACTTAGTGTTGTGTATCTTCTTTAGCCTCTTTATAGCTACTTCCTGTCTACATATACTTGCTTCAGCATTTCTTATGGCATGTTTTCTTATGGTGACAACGGTGGAACACATTTGCACAATGTGCATCGGCATGATCACCTGTACAATCCACTGGGAAAGCAAGTGTCAAGGTGTCAACGAGGGAAGATAATTGGAAAACAGGGACAGATCATTATCACTCTAGGACTGGAATGTATAAGTAGTTTTATGGCAGGATTACCCGGTAGATTTATAAATGTTATAACATGACTTTTGAGATTACATTACATATAATGTTGAATATTATGTGATATTTTAGTAACTGGGTTTAAAAATACACAATTTGTTTAAAATATTACATTAAGTGTTATCTCATTCTAATATGGGAACATTGCAGCACTAACTTTATTTAGACATCATTTATAAATCTGGTGAATGGCAGTGGAAGAAGTACTGCTGATATTCTTGTTTTGACTGAATTGCTACCCTGTAAATAAAGAGCATTGAATACATCTCAGTTTATCTGTTTAAGGCAACCATTAGCCTTATACATTTGTCATATTATCCACTGTCCCCCCAGACCTAAAAGCCCAGTTTTGAAAGGATGTAATTGTGTATCAAACGTCTAGGGGGTTTCGTTGAGATATTCCCATGAGAGATTCTAACTAAATCTTGCCATTTCCTGCCACACAATGTGACTGCATCACCCTTTGAAAAGCTCTTAGGAATGGAGAATCAGGAAAAGGCAGAAGAACATCACTGTTTTTCTTAAACAGAGCAAGTTATGATGGTACTGTAGGTATGGTTGGAGAGAGATGTCATAATGTCCATCAGGGCAGACTTCTAAAGTTGATAAGAAGTCAGGGAATGAACAGTTTCGGATGTGCAGTTCACCAGAACATTAAATTACTGCAATGTTTTTCACAGCGAAAGTCTAATGTTGTGAGAATAAATACTGCAACCAATGACTAAAACTACAGAGCTACTTGCTGGACAAATCTCTACTTCCCTTCTTTTGGCTGCAGTTTCATGAGGAAACTGGGTGTATAATGTCACAAAACAGCAAGAGAAAATATTTGTAACTTAAAGAAATTGTTTATATTTTTATTATGTCGATTTCAAACAGAAATCTAGCTATGTTGACTCCACAATTTGATGGGTAATATACAGGTCACATATAAGTACTACCTTTTTTGAAACATCTATACATCAAAAATCTTATATTACAAATATGTATTCACAACTATTTTGTTCTGCATTTCTTCTTTTCAGGAAATGTTTTAAAAACGTATTCAGTAGCTGATAAGGCAATTGTATTCAAGGCTCCTCATGTGGGTTATTAGCTCAGACAAAAGGGAATGTAAAGTTAAACTGTAAGAAAATATATAGATCTAGAAAAAATGTGATATCACACTAATTAGCTTTTACCTAGCCTCTGTAGTAAGCAAATGAAAAAACTAATATGGAAGTTTAGAAATTTCAGAGTGAATTTGACAAATCAAAACATGCTTCCTTTTTATTATGTGAAGAAATGTATCTATGTTGTTTCACAAAATTCCCAAATACAGAATCTATACTAAATCTACAAAGTGATACTTTTTAACATGAATTTCAAATCTAAAAACACAGCACTGAATAGCTAAGGTTGCTAAAATAAAAATGATGCCACATAGTAATCAAGAGCATAAAATGTATGTTCAATTAGCGTTTTTTTTTTCCTTAATTGGTGTACATATTTATTTTTTAAGTGAGAAATATTAAACTAAAATTTGTATTCTTTAATAACCTTGCATTCTTATAAAGATCTGGAAATTCAGTACTATAACATTAAAAAAAATAATGATGTGCTTTAGCCTATAAACCTGTGGCCTTATTGGAATTGCAGGAGCAGTCATAAAAGTATTATACAATGTGCTTGTAAGACAGATAGACAAAATAAAAATGAAAACATGAGACATAAATGACTAAATGGTTAGACTGAGCCACACACATTGCTAAGCAACTTTTCAGCAAACACACTACAGAGATGGAAGAAATAAAAAAGAGGAGGTAAGCAGTACATTGAACACCATACAGTCATTCAATTGTGTGTGATTATCCCATGAGCAAGTTTATCAAGCCGAGGACTGTTTAGCAAGTTTACATTTAACAATCAATACATTACTAAACTCTTTATGATATAATATTTTGTGCAAAAATGTATGGCTATATTATACTACATATAGCATATTTTAGCAAACCTTTATATAAATCAAAACAGAAATATTTCTGTTGTGAATGTTCTGGGAAAGCATTATTTGGAACAAAACAAGTTTATAATATTGTGTGTTGTTCATAGTCATTTTAGTTATTAAAGCACTTAGTAATTTAAAGGTCAAAAGAGAATTGGTTTTGTGCTTGAAAATCCTTCATATCATAAAAGGTTTAAAGTTCTGCACATCTGTAAATAGCACTTTGCTAAAATTAGTATAAAAAATAGATGAGTTATACCTTTCTTATGATAGACATTTGTATCTGAGTATCTGTTCAAGCAGAATTAAAACATTTTTTTTTCCAAACACTGAAATTGCAAGGTAAAAATGACATGTACATACTTGCAAATCTGTGTTACCCTTTGATTTATCCATATTTTTCATATTATGCATATGGCATCTTGTATAGTCTGTTCCTTTGCATTAAAGGGAGGTGATAAAGGAGTTACTACTGCATGAGGTAAGTGATGTAATCATTCTGTCACAGGAAGTTCTCTGCAGAAATTATCTTTATTCTTTGCCAGGAATCAGGTGTGTAAAAGGACAGTGCTATCTCCACTCTAATCCCCCCTCTTTTCTGCTCTTTTATCAGCCATTTGTTGCTTCATTAATAAAATGCTGCTGTCAATCAAATGAGAAGGCAGAACACACAGTAGAACTGGGAAAAGCCACTGTTCTATGCAGAGGTGTTCTCTGTTCCCTATGCAAGTATGGAAGCATAATGACATACATAGAGGGAGTTGTGGAAAGCCTTTGACCTTAGGGCTGAGCAGCCCATAGAGATTTAAATTGACACTAAACTCTGGAGTTAAACCTTAAAAAAGCATTCAAGTATGTTAAATATTAACAAAAATTTTACTTATTTGTGTATCACTCAGCTGCATGGGTGAGAGCTTCGAGCGGTGGCCTCTTCACAACACACATAGGGACCATGGAGAACAAAAGTAGTCACCCTTCAGAAGGAAGGACAGTGTCAGCACCAATTCAGAGATAATTTGAGGATCTGCAGCTGAGTGATATACAAATAAGTTACATTTTTGTTTCTCAATAACATACTTGAATGCATTTTTTAAGGTTTAACTACACAGCAGCTGGTTAATAATTTGGATAAGTCACAAGACACAGTTTTGGAAGTGTGCATGCATGCATGCATTATTTTTAGCAATTCTATTTGTGTACAATTATTGTATAGAAAAATGTTTACATATGTTTTTTTTTGAATGCTTTTGTTTGATATTTGAAGTAAACTAGCTGTACCTGTTTACAACAAGCAATTCTTTGATGCACATATCCACCAACTTGATAAACAGCGCATTATGTTAAGACAAGCCTTCTTGGTATCCCAGCTGCATTTCCAGTGGTTTATGGTATTATTTTATATTTTTGCTAAATATATATTTTTCTGGAACAATTGCTACAGAATGTATAGCTCCGTTTCAGCTGAAATGTCAATAATTGCTTACATTTTCCTTACATCATAAATTACTCAGATTATAATTAGTTTAGAATTTAAAAATCTCATACCTTTACGTATCCCTCCATCTGTATTGCACGCATAGTCACCTGCCGTCAGAAGGAAACAAGTTCCTGCTCTTCGGTTTTTATCTCTAGTGCTAGAACGTCTCATTGGGTGTCTTTCTCCAGGTGACAAGGGTTGGTCACTACCTGAACTGTCCTCACCTAATAATATTTGGGAACAAATCACACAAAGCAGATAATTATTTTAAAATAAAGTCATAACAATGGAAATGATAATAAAAATAAATAAATAGAAGGTTTTTAACTTTAAACAGCAGATATGTAGTGAGAAAGCACGTTAGAGTATGGGTTAGAGAAACATAAACTGCCATTACTGTGAAATAGAGGGTTGTATTTATTAATAATTTGCTGGTGAAATTCACCCAGTGATTAAATAGGTACGTTCAATAGGTACTACAACATTATATGGCCTTTTTTTTCTGCAAATAAACAATAATCAAATGTTGAGTCTAAAATGGCTGGTGAGTATCATGCACTGTGTACTGATCTCTCTCTCTCTCATCTGCCTGCACAGAGCCACAGTGCCAGTCCCGCACATGGATTACAGGGAGCCCATGATCGGTGGTGGCGGCAGAGGTGGGGCAAACAAAGGCAGAACGTACATGTGATCGGGTGGCTCTACAGCTACCAGACCATTTGTATGGTTATTTATGTATTGTTGGCAGCCGGCAAGTGGTTAATCTTGATTTATTTTATTTTAAAATGGCTGGTGTGTGTGCTGTTAAAATTGTGGCCTAGTGAAAGTGCTTAAATACTTTGCACTGAGTTACAACAATATTTTAGTGACATTTAACATAAAAATAAATAAAAATCTATTTGATTTGATTTTAAGAGTAAAAGCTGGCTGGTGCAAGAAATGTGGCCTAGTAAAAGTGATTAAATAATGTGCATGAAGTACAATATTTATGCCTTTTTTTGTGCTTTCTTTTAATGTTTTTTTCTTTAAAATAACGTACTCTTATCTGAATTTGTTGATTAAAACCTGTCTGCTAATGCCCACTAGATTGCAGCCTGGTAAATGTGCTTACATACTGTACACAGGGTCAGTACAGATTTTCTTTGAAATAAAACTCAAAATTTGATTTCTTAATTATAAACCTACCTTTGTGCATATAACGAACAATTATTCTATCTCTTTTTCAGTTGAATAATACCCTCTAGTTTAATTATCTTAATTAAAACCTGCTTGGTGTCTTCCTCTTAAACTGCAGCCTACTAAAGCTGCTTACATCTTGCATTGACAATATGGGGTTGATTTACTAACCTTATAAACACACCACGAACATGTATACACCTCTGTAGTGTGTTCCCTCCCAGCATGATCTATGGGTGGAATCTAAACACCTTTGTAGTGTGTACACACCCAGCAGGTGTGTTGTGCAAAGCCAAGCATGAATTGCAAGGTGATGTTGTGTAAATTAGCTCTATGTTGTGTTGCTTGCGTTGATGAATGCAGGAATGTAAATGCATGAGCTAACCATTTTTTGTCTAAACTGTGAAGCAGCATTATATATGCATCATGTACATGATTTCTCCATATATGGCATTAGTGGAAATATGCTTTTAGAGACTTTTTGGTTGATAAATATGTTTTGCTGTGTGAAAATCACACGCACCTGGTGCATGCGTGTGTTTAGGTTAGTAAATCACCCCCTATGTCTGGATTTTTTCTGTTAGCATTTCTTAATTATAAACATTCCTGGTTTCTCGTCATGAAATTGTTACATTGTAAAAGTGCTTACAGACTGTGTAATATTTCTTGCCATTTTCCTTTCTTGCCATATTTGTAATGCATTTTATTTTATCTACGTATTATTATGTATAATTATTATATCACTGTGCAGCTGAAACACCCCACACCCTCGCTTCAGTGAATGCCCTCTCTGACATGACTGTGTAGGCTAGTACCTCAAGTGTAGGTGGTGCCACCTCTCACCTGTGGTCCATCCTGAACACCCAAAAGTTAATTAATGTGATCACTTTTAAGTGTTTTATTTGTAGCCCTTCTATATCTGCCCACCATCCTTGCTTCACCAGGGAAGAAATTGTCTAATTCCCCCCAAATGTTAAAATATATTTGAATGTTAAAAATTGAAAATGAAGAACAAATACTAATCTTTAAAATAATGTTCCTAATAAACAACATAACATTAAAAAAACTGTTGGTAGAGGGGTGAGGGGGCTAATGGGTGGGTCTGGACCAGTGTTTGGCTCTCAGCACTATAAAAGTCTATGTTTCTGCCCTAACTTTGTTTCAGAGAGCATGGACCTCATTCCTTGAATAAGAAACATTTAAAAAGTTTGAACATCAAAAAAGGGCAGCATGCAAAGGACAGTTTTTCCTGTCTCAAGAATAAGTGGCACAACCAAAGCCAATTTGTGTCAAGGTTGCCAACCTATGGCCTTTGCTTTTTCCCACAGCTATGCCTCCAGGGCACTGCAATAAAGTTACCAGATTAAACAAATGTAACGGGAGCAATGGCAAGATCAATGAACTAGGGGGGTGGTTTGGAGCACACCTCTGTTGTGAAGAAGTACACCACTGTTGTGTAAAAGCTATTTTTTCCCTAGTAATATAAATAAATTAGGTAGGGGTGCTACTGCAGCTATATAAAAGTAAAACAATAGCATAAAAGTAAAACAAAATGTATTACATTTGCAAATTATGTAAAACCATGTCATTTACATTGTTTTGTACCACCACATACAGCTGAAACAATCTCCCAGGCTTGTAATTGATCTCCCAAGCCTGTAATTGAAAGGGTTGGTGTTTGATTTCAAATGCCACCTTTAAAGTCCCATAAAAAGTAGGATCCTCTCCCCACTGTATGGTACTTTAAAAAAAACACAACACATTTTGCATTGGTACATGTCCGCTAGAGTAGTGCCCATGGCCTTTTTTTAACATTCTCTTTCATATTGGCCTTAAAAACTTCAACTTTTTTTTAGAAATAGCAGGGCTGTTTGTTTTTATTGGGCTTCATTGGGCTTTAAGACTGAATTTCCAGTGGCTCTCATAATATATGCTGTCATACTGCTGTGATTTTCAAGACTGATTCCTAAGTCCTCTTTATCACTTGCAGTTGTCTCTGATACTGTATGATAGCAATTCACAGCTTCTCATTAAAGTATATGGGGAGAAATGCTTTTATCATCATAAATAAAAGAAAAAATGCTTTAATGTAATCAGATTTAATTATTTACATTATTTAAAGGAGATGAACTGAAGTTAAATTAGACTGAATAGTTTGCTTCCAAAAAAAGAACAACACTGAAAGATACAGTAGATAAGTGACTCTGTCACTAAATTAAAAAATCCAGAAAAAGGTATTTCTGCAACAAAGCAATTCATAATTTGATGTGACATATGCATATATAATTTCTTTTTTTTTTAAATACAAAATACAAAATTACAAATAAACAATTTTTTTTACAGTTTTGTCAATAATAATGTGTACATAATTAGTGTAGCTAACAGAAAGTAATTCATAGTAATTTACTTTATTTGTCTTGATTTATAGGGTATATCGCATGTCTGGGATTTCAATTTATTTTGGGAGTTATTGCACAGTAAAATACAATTTTAGTTTGGAACAATTTTAGAATGTGGTATGTTTGTCTCCTATCTTTATTAGCCTCATTGGCACTATATTTTCTTATACTTTTCTATTAATTGTACTTTTTTAAATACTATTGTATTTATTTTTTTAAAACTTAATTTATTTTTATTTTTTTAAACTAGGGAGCACTAAGGGTTGCAGGATTTGCATATAAATTCACCTGTATATACCTATATCTCTAAATCTACTATCAATTTGATATACAGGTTCCACTGAAAACAATGTTTCCTATACATTTTTTTACCATAGACTCTGTGTTACTTGTCCAGCGTTGTAAAAGGTTTCCTTTAAATGTACATTTGTTCATGCTAACACATATGCACACACGAATTGTAACATAGACAGTAGAGATGCATGGACTAAGAATAATCTGTTCCACAGTGATACACCTGTTCTTTTATCAAAAGCCCACTTCCCAGGTTTGCATACACCAACCTGCTTTTCCTCCTTTTTTATTTATTTTGCTAAAAACTACCAACCCATCTCCCTAACCATATGGGGTGACTTATCCATAGCTAGATGGCCAATGATTTTATGCCAGTCCACATGGCAACATCCACTGCACTGGGTTGTAACAGTAAAGGAACCCAAAAAAAGGCAGCATTCTCCAGACACAGTATCAGGCCAGCACTGAGGGATACTAGGCTTTTCCACATCACCATGCTTGTTGGAGGTGGGAGCAATGATGAACTGGTATAAATGTCTATTTTAGCTATAGACGGCCTGGGCTATGTTGGGATAAAAAACCAATGAGACAGTGGAACATCCCACAAATGCTTAATTCTGCTCCATAACTCTTACCTATTAGAGTACACATCTCCACAGGACACAGAGCCATAGAAAAACATAGTGCCCTTAAAGCTAGACTGCTGGTTTTTAAAGTCCCCCTTTTTATTTTTTAGTCTCCTTCGTCTTAACAATACAAACCACTGAAATGCAGACAACTATTACAATAACAAGAATAAATCATTCTTGCCAATTTGTCCACTATAAAAATATAAAAATACTAATTCCTGAAAGCCATTTTGCTTTTATCTTTAAAGAGGAACTTTACCCATATCTTCAAAATAACAACAAAGGGACCTTTTAGAAATGTTTAGTGATGACAATCTACAAACACATACTTCTAGATAATTGCAGGCTTTTTATTTTTTGCATACCTTTTTTTTCTTTTCTTCCCCAGTCTTCTGACATTGGCTATTTTAATAAAGGGCAGAGTACTAGATCTCCCTTTACTTCCTGGATCTCTGGCACATGTGACTAGGACATGTGACCATGCTTCTTATCCCAGTGGAGGAAAATGCCTTTCCCTGAGATCTCATGAGATTACAGATGAGATTTCCCAGCAATGTTCTGCTGATGTAGTCCTTCCCAGGATGTGATGCTTTGGCATGATTACATAATTTGTGTCAAAGTGGACCAGGAAGTGCAAAAAAAAGAAATTGTAAGTAAAAAAATATGATTGTTTAGTTAATGAATATAAGATGATTTCATATCAGCATGCAGGGCTGTATGCTGATGTGATTTTTAGTCAAAGGGGGTAAAGGTCCACTTTAACCCCTTCGTGACTGACGACGTACAGTGTACGTCGCCAGCATCGGGGCTGTTTAAACAGACTCCCGGCGACTTTTGCCGCCGGGATTCTGTTTAAACTTGTAGAGCCGACTGTCGGCTTTACAACAGAAGTGATCCTGGCGACTTACCTGTCGCCAGATCGCTTCTGCGTCCCGAAGAAGGGGCCGCCCCCCCCCCGCCGGACAC